AACACTGTTTTTTTTTTTTTGTTTGTTGGTGATAGCTTTCAGACTTTCTTTTCCATAAGGTTTTCTTTTCATTTTCTCTTGTTTCTCTGTTTTTTTTTCTTTACCTCTTGGTAGACCTCTCTTTTTTTACTTTTTTCACATTTTTCCTCCTTCCTTTTTTTACTATCAGTCCCCTTTCTTCAAGCCCATATTTTGTGTTTTCTTTTTAGCTTGCCTCATTTCTTAAAAAACCTAGTAGCTCCCTCATTCAGCATCCGAAAAAGAAGCCCCTCAAAACTTCATTTGGACAATTTATCTACTACCTGAAGGTCCCCTCTTACTTCCTCCTCAAGTTGTTTTCTTTTGCTTCTCCCACTACCATCTACAGAGTATTTACTCTTTGTTTGTTCTATTGTAGGATTTGTGCTTGGTCCTCTTTATAGTAAACCAACTAGTTTGCAGCTGATTGTCCCCCATTACATATGGGTTTCTAGGTTTCACATGAATAAAGAAAGGCTCTTCATAAATCCTATACAGAAGAGTTTGATAACAACCATACGAGTCTCTCTTTTTTCTTGTTTATTATAGGCCTAAATATTGATGCTTTTTATAGGCTCTTAAATGGGTCTTTTTGTGGTTTCAAATGGGCATTGTTTAAGTTTCTAAAAGGCCACATTATGGGCCTCTAAATGGGCCATAAATTAGACTTGTAATTAGGTATCTAAATAGGCCAACTTTTGGGCTTGAAATTGGTTTCATTCAATGGTTCTAGCCTGAGTTCAAAATGGTCCCTACAAAATTTGATATCTACAAAAATCCTAAATGAAACCCTAAAATTAAGACCTTAGATAAAACCTAAAACCCTAAACCTAAGGTGGAATCCAAATCCTTAAGCATTAGTTCAAACCCTAAAAAAAACCTTGAGGCCTAAATCTAAACAAAACCCTGAAACCATCATAAAATTTAAGGATTTATATAGAAATTTCCCTTGAAATAATATGTTCCTGAATGTAGATTAGATAATGGGATAGTCAGGAAATTTTGTTTCATTAAGAAATTTTCATATAATTCCATTAATAATAAAATTAAATAAAGATTAAAGATTAAAAACTAAAAACTAAAAAATAATAAAATAAGAAAATGAGATTTCATATATAAATAGTCACACCCAAACTTTACTTAGAAGTTAAAGAGTCCATGTGATCTCTTTATATTTAAAAACGCGATTCTTAAATTCATATTTTATCATCATTTACCTATATTTCATTTTTAGATTAATGTGTACATTTATAATGCATATATATGTTTATTCTAATTATTGATGTTTAATTTTATTATATAATTTTTCATTTTTTACTGCATAAAAAGTTCTTAAAAAATTAGTTTTAAACAAATAAAATGAAAATAACATTTTGTGAAATATAATTATTGGTACTCTACCTAAATATTAGAGAGTTGCCTATAATTATCATTTATAAAAAATATTATTTTATTATTTTTAAGAGAGATGTTACGATAAATCTTAGATGAAAAAACTATCTTTGAATTTTACCTTTATGTCGTAGAATTTAAAGGTATTTCTTTAATCTAAAAATTTTCATAATATTCCTAAATAAAGATTTTTAATTGATTTTCTTTCTAAACAATGAAGGGAATTATAATTAAATCTCATATAAAACCAATTTTGTCCAAAATTATAAATAGCGCATGATTAATTGGTACCAATTTTGTGGGCATTATGGGGGTGTTAATCATTTCCTATATGTAACCGACTTCGGAACCCAATCCTATTTTCGTAAAACAAAATTATCTTTTTAATAAACTTTAAACCCGTTTTATTAAAAAGATAAATTTTTTTGGTAACCAATCATATCCTTAAAAAGATTAGTGGAGACTCCATGTGTTTTTCACGACTATAAATGATTATGTCTAGTGACTAAGTGTCCAAACTAATACATTATGACAGTCTCACAAAACAAAAATAACACATCTCATAAATAATAATCACCGAGAGTCCTTCTATAGTTAGGCAATATCTCAATGATTATATTTACTTAAGATATTATTTTATTTGAAAACATTTTTTAAAAAAACTAATTTTTAAAACCAATGCACGAAATGCAGGAACATAATAAAATGATGAATGCATAACAATATAATATGGATGACAAAGTATGAATGCATGATAAAAAAAAAATACTTGTGATGACAATATAAAATATAATGCAAATGCATGAATGATTTAAGGGTTTAACGGTTGGTATGAGGTTAGGGTTAAGTTAGGTTCTTAAGGTTTAGGGTTAATGTTTACTGTAATGTTTTAAGGTTTGGATTTAGGGTCTAGGTTTTGGATTTGGTTTGATTTAAAATTAGCTTTTAGTTTATGAATTTAGGTTGGGGTTTGGTTTGTGTTGAGTTAGGTTTGAGGTTTAGTGTTTGGAGTTTAGGGTTTGAGGTTTAGTGTTTGGAGTTTAGATTTAAGGTTTGGGATTTAGGGTTTAGATTTGAGATTTCGGTTTAGGTTTCACAAATATAATTTTTTTGGGGTTTTATAGAAATGGATATGAAAGAAAGGCAAAATTACAAAAATACCATTAATGAATGCTTGTGCCAAATTTATGACTTTGAAAAATAATTACTAACTAAGGTATTTTCAAACTTAATATCACAAACATGTAATGTTTGAAAATTCAAAGTGAAAATGGATTAAACACAATAATTTTTTAAACTTTTAAAAGATGTTCCACCATTTTTTTTTGTTCTTGAAAACCAACCAAACAAAGACCAAAATCATCTAAACAACCAACTAAAACAACATTTTATTCATAGAAAATTTGTCTCATCACCTTAAAAACTTGAAAAACATAGGAAAACCACAATCAAACACATTTGATCAAGCAATATATGATCACAAAATGAGGAGCAATGTTTGGCCAAACAAGGGAACCAACTTGATTGAAAGTTTCTATAACATTCTCACCAAACATTCATCACCTCATCTAAGTAGAATTTGCATAAAATATCCATAAAACCATGCTAGAATATCATTTTAATCATCTATGACCATTTGACAAACATGTAACAAACTCATAAATTCACAAAAACCATGAAAATATAATCACAAGCCAAACATTACTCATGACTTACAAAATTAACATCAATTGTGTAGTAAACAAATAAACCAACAATCAAAGCTTTCATCTACATGATTTAAAGCAAGAGCATATTCAAAGCAAACCTAAAGAAGGTTCGGCCATGGTGGAGGAGGTTTGGCTGAACCTTCAACTTGGTTTAATAGTGGATTTTAAATTTTTTTTTGTTACTTGATTTTTTGATTTTAATCCAAACTATTATTTAGTTAGATGAATTCTTGAACTAAGATTGGATTAAAAAGATGAAAAAACTCTAAAGTTTTTCCAAGAAAATGTAAAAACAAATAGAAAACCAATATGAAAATACTATGAGAATGTGATGAACTGCAAGAAATGAAACTATAAAATATACCTACTCCAAGCCTCCTTCAAAGAATTTTTTCTCTCTGCTTCTTTTCCTTTTTTTCTTTCTTCTCCCTCCCCCATTTTTTTTGTGTTTCCAGCCTTTTCTCCTCTAGTTTTCCCTCGTTAATGGCAGTTAAGAAATGATGAAAATATCTTCCATGCAAATCAAGGTTAACCCTTGGATTAAAACACATCTAATGGCTTAAATTTCATTTTTTTATTGCAAGTAGTGAGTTTTCACCATTAGATTCACCTTCCTGATATGATCTAATAATCCATAATAAATAATATTTTTATTTAATTTTAGTTAAAAAATTAAAATATTAATATTAAAAATCTTTTAATATTTCAATATTAAATATTTTTATAATTTTTCTCAAGTAATACTTTGAACATAATATTTTAAACTTGAACATGGTTTGATTCGACTTAAAATACTATTATATTAATAAAAATAGTTTATTTAATTTTAATTAAAAATTTAAAATATTAACATTAAAATTTTTTTTGATATTTCAATTTTAAATATTTTATATTGTATATCATTAAGCATAAATAGTTTTAGTATTTCAATAATATGTAGTATTATATTATTAAAACATGGTTTGATTCGACTTAAAATATTATTTTATTCATAAAAATATTTTATTTAATTTTAATTAAAATATTAAAATATTAAAATTAAAAGTCTTTTGATATTTTAATTTTAAATGTTTTATATTGTATATTATTAAACATAAATATTTTTAGTATTTCAATAATAATTAGTATTATATTATTATTTTAATAATAAATAATAGCATATATGATAATATTTATTATTTAAATAATTAATATTAAATAATATAATAATATTATTTTCTAAATAAGAATATTTTTAATAATTTCTTATTATTTTTTAGTTTAAAATATATAAATTTACATTTTTGCTTATTAAGGTATTTATATTAATATTTTAATAATAAAATACAAATAAAAATTTTTTGTTATGATTTAATAATAGATACTTTCGATATAAAATACAAATATTTTAATAGTATAAATATTTTAATAATAAATATTACTACTTTAATATTAATAAAATAATATTTTAAGAATAATAATACTATTTAAAATATTTAAAATATTAGTATAAAAATAAAAAGTAAAAAATAATTTTATTTTAAGTATTTTTATATTAATATAATATTTTATATAAAATATTATTAATAAAATACAATTATTCTTAAATATTAATAATTTTAATAATAAATAAATTTAGTAAAATTAATAATAATAATATTTAATATTTTAATATCATATTAATATTATTTTAAAAATAATAAATTTTTTTAAAAAATATTTAAATAATAAAAATATTTTTTATTAACTTGATCAATAAAAACTTTTATTTTTTAAAGATTATAAATATTTTTAAAAAATATTTTTTAAAAATCAATTCCAATAAACCTAAGTATAACCCTCTTTAACATTTTACACAAAAATAACATGCCATACGGTCATGATATTTCAAAGTCTCCGTCAACGATGACGTGGCAGGAATCAGTTACTCTCTCGCTTGTACCTTAATTTCATTTTTTTCACATTTTTCCTTGCTTTTTTTATATTCGTTTTGGGGAATTTCACAAGTTCCGACTTTCTGGTTTCATCCCTCTTTCAGTGCCACTGCAACATCGAAGCACATGGTAATTCTTCTTTCTCCTTTCCATTTTCCTAATTCAACTAATTTTTCTTCAAAATTCTCTTTTTTATTTTTTTGTAGCTTATCTTCTTTCCTATGAACTAGGGTTTCGTCAAATGTTTCATTTTTAATACAAAGCTAGGGCGCATAGTTCTTGAAACCGGGCAAATCGCAGCTTTTTTCTTATTATTATATCACGATTTAAGATTTCTTTTGTCGAAATTAATTGTTGATTTATTGATTCTTACCGGCGTGTTAACGACGCTCGAACGTATTCTTATATTTATAAATTTTATTGGATAATATGGGCGGTATTTTTTTTAATCTCTATTTTTTTTTTTTTTGTGTGTGCGAATTTAGGCAAATAAGCACACCATTGTTTTGCTGCAAACTTCACAGAACAGAGCAACGAGAACATTTATGGATTATGATTCCATAAGTCAAGCTATGGATGGTATTTTTATTATTATTATTATTATTATTTTGCTCATATTGTCTTGATTTTTGTTGTATTTCATCTTAAGTGTTTGTTTTTGGCGGCGATTATTATGATTAAATGTTAATTCTACTGACTGGACTGCCTGTGGGATTATGATTTAAGTTTCTACTGAGTTATCGTTTTTTAAAACAGCATCTGCTGCTGGCAGTGGACTATACCTTTTGGAAGTTGTCTTGTGGACTATACCTTTTGGAAGTTGGCTTGTGGAGTTTAAAATGATTCTTAGATTTGATTGTCCTTATGTTTTTCTTTCTCTGGAAGGATGACCAAAATTATTTATATTTCTGAGTTGCATTAAGAGGACGATTTGGTGAAGGAATCAAGGTGGTTCCAACATGATTCTCCAGATGGAATCCCATACTTCTTCCTCTCCATTGTTTAAAAGATTTGACAAATTTAACAGTTTTTGCTAATTTCCATGTGCAGGTATATGTGGACTATATGAAAGGAAACTTAAGGAGCTAAATCCAGCAACACGGAACATCGCATATGACATTGCTGATCTTTACAATTTTATTGATGGCCTTGCAGATATGAGTGCCCTTGTGTATGTCTCTCATTCTCTCTCTTCCTCCACCTTGTTTTTTGAATCATTCACATGTATTTTTATCTTATATTGCAAGTTTACTGAGTCATGTGTTCATCAAATGTCATAAAACTGTCTATCAATGTTATAGCTCATGAATTTGTCATGTAGAACCTGAACTATAAGGATTAAGTGTGTGTTTTTAGTCAATGAGTCACCATATAAAATTTCCCTTTCTGCTGAAACTCAAATGTGTTTTTGAATGATTTTTGTCCCACTTGTAACAATAGATGCCCTTAGACTATCCAAGCCCCAAGGAAATGGATGTGGCTGATGGGCAGTCTGCCTATTGTTTAGATACTGAGAATGGTCCAATCATCATGCATTAAAAAATGAGTGTGGCTTTACATAAATGGGAGACAATGTCTTGCATTAGATTGTTGGTTTGTAAGGGTTTGGACTGTTTGAAAAGGTGGAACTAGAGGTGTAATTGAGCCGAGCCAATACAGTGAAAAGCTCGAGCTCAACTCAAAATTTGCTACTTGAAACTTGGCTCGAGCTCAATCGAATTTTAGTTGTCAAACTCAAGCTTGACTTGAGATAAATATCAAGTTACTTAAGCTCCTCGATTAGGCTCATTTACTGAATAAAAAATGAGCTCAATTCCCTAGTTCGGCTTCAAGCTCGATTATTTGTATTTGAACTCGAGGTCGAATTGATATATATATATATATATATATATATATCAAGGTAAAATAGTAATTTTTTAATTAAAATAATAAAAAATATATATATTAAAATGTAAATACCTGATTAGGCTAGCAAACTACTTGAGCTAAGTATTAAGATGTTTGAACTTAGCTTGCTCGATAAGTCGAACTGCTTGAGTTCGAGGTCGGCTCGACAATAACTGAATCAAGTACAAGTTTTATTCGAGCTGAGCCTAAGTAGTTTGTGAGTATTGATTTATCATTTACACCTCTAGGTGGAACAATGTGGTTCCCATGTGCCCCATGGGAAGCTGAAAATTTCCAACCAAAGGTTGTTCTAAGTCCCTTTACCAAAGGTTTTGCTGCATCCATCCATGTTATTATTCCTTTTGTTGGTTAACTGATTTTATTGTTTGTTTCTTGCTTGCAGCTATGATCACACTATTCAAGCTTTTCTGCCTTATGACAGGCAATGGATTAAACAGAAAGTATTTCAACACCTTAAGAGGTTGGCACACTAAATCCTTTTCAGTGAAATTGAATTTAATAGAAAGAGAATTTGTATTAAGTGCAGAAGACCTCATCTTATAATTGTGCTCTTGTTTCCCTCGCTTTGCACATACATTTGAGAACCATTGCAACTTTCTCCAGAGTTTCAGATGAATAGCAAAGGTGTTGTGTGGTCAAGGTTTTTCTCTAAGAAAAATTACTATTTTTGTATAGGAGGCTTGACCTTGTATAATCATATAATGTTTGGTTGCTTGGTTGATATGTGATGATCCATAAGTTAATATTCGCTGGTATCTCATCTAAACTAGTATTTGGATGATTTTTAGGTTTAGTTTATGGAACAGCAATTTCTGGTATGCTAAATCTAATTATAATTGTTTTCCATGTTCAGTGTCGCTTTATAATATGTTGATAAGAAAGTTGCCGTAGCTACATACTTTCCATCAGAGGTTACCATGCTGCCTGTTTCTTACTCCCCTTTTGAGGTTTTCTTTCTTTCTTTTTTTTTTTTTTTTTTTACAAAACAGGTCGTATTAGAAAAACAAGTTGTAGTTTGAAAATAAGAAAAAAGATTACAAATGTTTAATTTAAAGTTGTCTTTTAGGAGTGATTCAGTTTAAATTTTCAATTCTTAAATACCAATTGTGTTTAAATTTTGAATTTGATTCTCTGTTTTGCTTGAACGCTGGAAACCAATTTTAATTGATTTTGAAAAAAGTTCATAATTTTAATTGGTACTAGAATTTTAATCAATTTTGAAAAAAGTTAGCAATTTTAATTGGTACTAGAGGAACTACCTGTTTCATTTGGGTTACAAATTTTTTTATTCTGATGAAATATAAATTATATAATTTTTTATTTAATAATAAAAATAAATATGTTTTAGTATTTTGTTGGTTTTTTAATTTTTTGAAAATTATAATATTTTGAAAAAAATAAAAAATAAAATTTCTAATTGTGTCACTCAATTGTAGTTAGACAAGTAACGACTTTTAGTTTAAATAAGAGAGATTATTTTTAAAAAATTATATAAATTAAATTAAAATCAATAATGGATACATGATAATTCAATTTATTGATATAATATTTACTTATTATAAACATCAATCAATTATCAAATTCAAACTCATTTATCCATGGAATTAAAGTCTACTAATATAATTATTCATTCACTTTAATTTTTTAAGGAAAAAAAATCAATGATTTTAATATGATAAAAGGAGTATTATAGTAATTTTGTTCAATGATTATAGGAGGGTATTTTTGTAATTATGGATGTAGGATGATTATAGTAGTTTTGGTAAATTGTAGTAAAAAAAGTATTTTACTCATTATGTTAAAAGAGATATTATACTCGACTTGGATACATGTCCAATAGTCAAACAATTAGAAGAGCATTATAATAATTTTTAAAAGATATTTTCATATAAATTGTATGATTTTAAAATTTAGTATGTAATTATGAAGCAATAAAAGGATATTTTTATAATTATGGCAAGACGATTTTACAGTAAATTTGAAAAATTATAATATGAAAGTTATTTTCATAATCATAGTAAAAAGGGCATTATAGTAACTTTGGTAAATGATGGTAAAAAAGCATTTTCATAATTATGAAGTAGAGGTATTATAATCATTTTGATCAATTATGGTAAGAGGTATATTTTAGTAAATATGTTAAGAGGAATATTATAGTAATTTAAGTTGATCATAGAAAGAGAGGCATTTCAATCAATTTGGACGCATGCAATTCAATCGTTAAGTAAATAAAATGGTATTATAATTATTTCTAAAGGCATTAATTTCATATTATTGTGTAGACGTTAAAATTTAATCCATAATTATGAAGTAATCAAAAGGGTATTTTCGTAATTATACTTAGAGGGTAATATAGTAATTTTGATAAATTATAATATGAAGGGTATTTTTGTAATTATGCTTAACGGGTATTATAGTAATTTTGACCAATTATAATACGAGAAATATTTTCATAATTATGGTAGAAGAGGCATTATATAAAGCAATTAAAAAGGTAATTTTTGTAATTATGATTAGAGAATATATTAACTTTTTAGGTAAGATGATGATCCAAGAGAAGGGTGAATTGGATTTCTTTAAGTTCTTCCCAAAACTAGATTTCAAGATAATTGAATGAGGAATTAAATTAATAAGCACTTTTGATGAAAATATGATGTAATCAATAATAATTAATGAACCTAGAATCAAATATAAACAACAATAAATGTAAAGAAATAGAGATAGAGAAATCAAACACAATAATTTATAGAGGTTCGGTCTTTTTTCACAAGGCATTTACGTTCTTTTTTCTTGGTTATCCACACCAATACTTTAATTCGCTAATTGAAGAAAAGCTCTTTCAAGATATAAACCTATCTTGTACTAAATCTCTATCTTTTTCTTAAGGCTTATATAACAACTTCTACCCTTACAATATCAAGAGGATACCTCACTTCTTGCTTACAAGATAACCCAAATAATTTTTACAAACTAAAATACCTCTAAAGGTTGAGTGTTTGCCTAATGAAATACAAAAAAATTTGATGAATGAATAATACAATATAACTTGGATACAACAAATACAAAAGACATGGATTTTAAGCTCAACAACTCTTGATCTTTGAGAAAATGAAAATATAACTTGTTGACTCTTATTCTCTTGATTCATCAAACTTTTTGGTGTGTTGGATTACTTAATTTATAGAAGAATTAAAGAACTAGCCGTTGGGGATAGTTTGAAAGAAGAAATGCCCATTGAAAGCTTGTAAAAACTAGTTGTTATGCATAATCTGCACATATGAGATCGATCAAGTAAGGGACCCGATCGATCCCTACAGGGAGGGGATCGATCTGGTCAAGCTAGGTGGTCATCTTTTGTTTTGCACTCTACTCACTAATTTGATCATATCTTGAGTTATACAATTCTAAATCAAAAACCGTTTAAAGGTTTAGAAACTAGACTTAAAAGGCTTTCTATCCATAAAAATTGATCATCTAATTCATTATATACGAATTATAGTGATTTTTCAAATCTAACCCTTGTACAATTTTTAGACAACTGTAAAGTGTCTAGTAAAAATTCAAAATCTTTTTTTAAAAAATTTTAATTTTGATTTTGTTTAATCCATTAGAAACTAGACTCAAAGAGCTTTTCAACCATGTAAATTTCAAATATTAAAGCTTTGTGAATTAATACAGAAAAAATAAAACAAGTTCAAAACTTTGTTCTTATAAAACAACTTTCTTAAGTTAATTATTTCTCAAAATCAATATTATCAAAATTGTATTAAGTCCAAAATGAATAAGTTCACTTTAAAAACAACAATTGGACTTTCATTTAAGCTCAAATAAATAATCTTTAAAGATAGATTTGGTTTAAGAAATATGAAAACAAAGAAAGGTTTGTTTACACTTTGAAAAATATATTATTTATTTAGTATCAAAATATCAAACTTAAGAACATGTACTAAATAAATTTTTTTCAAAATCTTGATCAAGCTTATTTAGCTTAATATTTTGTCATCTCAAAATAATGATCAATTCAAGGCTAACAATCTCTCCTTTTTTAATATGACAAAACTTAAAGATAAATTTGCATGACGAAAAACTTTCTTTGAAACATTTAAAATTTTGAAAAACATTTTAAAAAACTCCCCTTTAAATAATGCATGGCAAAACTCTTTATCAATTTATACATCATAATCTAACACAACTCAACTAACATATGTTAGAGCATATATAACAATTAAGCACACATAAACATATGTATATCAAACACAAACAAATTTGTCCATGTGATATTTCTCCTTTTTGTTGTTATAGTAAAAAAGCATGAGCAAAAAAACACAAAAAAAAAAGGTTTTAGCAAATATATTCGTGAAACATTTCTCTCAGTTTTTGTTTAAACTCTTTATACCAAATGTTTAAGCTCCTATATCAATTTTATAAGCATACAAGAAGAGATATCCATAAACTCTACCCCTTGTTGTTATTTCAAAAGAAAGAGAGATCAATTCAAGGTATAGGACAAAATACATAATACCAATAATATCAAGAGTATTTTTGAATATATGTAATAAATTGTAATATGCATAATAAAGTTCATATACATGTATTCAAGTACAAAAGTATAAGTGTATCCAATTAAAATGTTATAGCACAAAATCATTCATTCAACCTAACCACATGAAATTTATGAGCAAAAAGATAATAAATGATATGCAACCTACTCATAAATTATTTTATCATAAGATGTGCTTAGAACCTAAAACATCAATAGCTATTAAGCATAAATTCAAGCACATGCATACAAGTTCATACCAATTGTTAAAGATATGTTATTATAAAGCATACCAATTTTTATCATGAAACAAATCAAGTAAAATTGTATTCTAAGATTTCTTTTCCTTTTTCAAAGTAAAGATTAATCAATTTAAGGCACATACAATTTTACATGAAAGGTATAAGCTATATCAAGGATAGGCACATAAATAAGCATCTATGAAAGTTCAAAAAATCTTTAGCAATTTTGATACCAATTGTTAGCAATTTTATTCAATAACTTTCATAAAACACACATATTTCAAGCATATGAAAGATTCATTCAACACATGTATAAATGATAATAGTAATCTTTCATAAGCTATCTTATCTAAACAAGAACCCAAAGCTCATATGCATATAATAGATCATAAGTACTAATGAGCAATGAGGTTCAATCATCATGTCCTAACAAAGATTATATAAGCATGATTTTCTAAACATGATGAGCACATATGCTATAGCAAAGAAATAATGAAAGCATAATTATTCAATTATAATCCAAATTATTTCAATGCATAGCAAAGTATTTAACTCAAACATATGCAAGTATTCAGTCATATATTTCAATCAAAATCGTATAAGCATATGCAAAACACATAAGCAATATACCTAATTCAAAAAATATGCAAGCATTTAGGCACAATTTGGTACATGCCATTTCAATGATCTCAATCAATGAACATATATATAAATTTCAAATTTATAATTCATAATCTATGAGTCAAATAAATTTAAAGATCAAGAAATCAACATAGCCAACTCATAGCCATGTTTAAAGATTCATCTTAAACAAATATTCATGCAAAAAAATTTTATTAATCACATCAAGGCAATCAAGAACTAGGCATGAATATTAATCAAAGTGAATTAATCAATCCAAGCTTTAAAAAAATATATTAAGACAATTTTTATCAAATAGCTTAGTGACTAATTTATACAATATGTTCATATG